TGTTAAAAATACTAATTTGTAATTAAGTATCCTTGGAAAACAGATTTGGTCGTCTAATGTTTTTCGTGTCTTGTCCTGGTCGGTTAAAAAATGCCCAAATTGTATTTTTATTTTCTCAATAATCAACTTTTTCAAATGGAACAGGGGTGGCTCATTAGCATATTTGAAGAAAACATTTTCTTACCAATATTTGGTTCCACACACTTTATTAGTATTATGAGTCAAATTATCGTTATGAACCACATGTTACAATTTCAAATAAACCATATGCGAAAATGCCAAAATTTGATATATGATATGTCATTCTATTCAGAGTGTCATTTTCTATCGAATAAAGAAAAAAAAAATACCGAGGGTGTCATTTAAAAATCAAAAGTTCTAGTCATTTTCGGTGAATCAGGAAGTGACCGAAAACAACTGAATACGTCAATCAATCTTAATTTATGTCATATACTAACATACCAACTTTCGTTTCTTTATTTAAAAAAAATAAAAAAGTCATAGGGGTGAGCCACTTTTGAGACGCATCCGGTATTGCTTATTACATTATACTGGGTGTTTCAATATTCCTGTTCCCAAACAGATATCTCAGTTGCATACAATGCAAGAAAAAGTTTGATGAGGCTAGCAAACGTATATAAAAATATTAAATTATATTGGTATACTGTGGATTTATGGAAGGAGGAAAGTTAATCACTGCGACCTTGCAGATCTATTTCGTGAGTTATATCTCACCATACGGTCTCAAAGCTTTGATAAAAGCCAATATCTGAGACGGTTTAACAGATGTTAGCTCCAATATTAGTCTTACCAAATCCCCTTGGGAAGGAGCTAGATTGACTAGACTTTCTAGCTAGATTATTTGCTTTTTCATAAACTTCTATCCTTTGGCGGGCTGGCACCGCAGATATAATTAATATTATAATCTAAGGGTAGCACCCAGAATAGAATGACTTTATTTTCTTTGTCTATTTTTTTATTTTCTTTACTAATTATGTTGTTAGTACAACTTTCTTGTACTATCTGAGCTTACTCTTTGATTTATTTAAGTTTTCTTAGACTACATTGTCTTCAGATCTCTCTAGCTTTTTTAAATTGATCGATTCATCTTGTTGGAAATCGACATCTGTGGCTATGACTATTTAGAAAATATTGGGTCATAGAAAAGTTAAAAATATTGATAAAATTTGGAAAGTTTAGATGTAAAAGTCACTCGAAAAAAAAAATAGAAATTAACATAATAATAGTATTAGATAATATTGTATTTAAGATTAAAGGTCATATAGAACAAATCTGTATGAATATTCAAAATCAGTTGTAAAATATCGGTTTCTTGCAAAACACTTTAATGTTTTCTAGATTTCTTAAAATAGCTTAGGTACTCAGTATTCAAGATCTATAGATTGTACTGATGGGAGTCTATAGAGCTTGTCTAATAAAAATATATCAAGCCTATTAAACAGTGACATGCACTTACATTAAAGTGTCTCTATTTCTTTTTATGAAAATACTAGCGTGTACCAGCGACTTCGTTCGCGTCCAATTAATAATTTCTAATGGTGATGATAAAGCAAAACAAGACTTTCCATTAACATACAAACTGGATAAAATTTTCTCACATTTATGTCAGCATGAGAAAACACAATATGGCGATATTATTATATAATTTGGTAATATTTGAGGGGTAGTTTCATCTTGTTGGAATTTGACTTTCGAAAAATCCGTTTGCCAAAAATAAGTTTTTTACGTCAAGCATTTTAAGCAGAATCGTGGTTACGAAATTACCCAACTTTTTGGAACACCCTGTATGATTTTTTAAAAAATTTCAAAATATGTAAAAAAAACAAATAAATTATGCTTGTGCAAGCGTTTTCCCGAAAGACTAACCGTTTTTTAAATAACAAATATTGTAATATTTGATGGGCGTTTTCACCCTCTTGGAATTTGAGATTCGAGAAACTCTTCCTTATGGAACCTCTACACCCCACAGTCAATCTGTTTGCCAAAAATCAGCTTTAAACGTCAAGCAGTTTAAGCAGAATCGTGATTACTCAATAGTCATATTTTATGAAACACCCTGTATAAATTTATAATAAAATCTTAAAAATATGTAAAACAACAAAATAAAATATACGTGTTTAAGAGTTTTTCCGAAAAACTCACCGGTTTTTAAATAAAAAATATTTTAATATTTGAGGGATAGTTTCACCCCCTTAGAATTCCAGTGTCGAAAAACGCCTTCTTATCGAACCTCTACACCCTAAAGTCAATCTGTTTCTCAAAAATCAGCTTTTTACGTCAAGCGCTTTAAGCAGGATCGTGATTAATCAATGACCAGATTTTTCGAAACACCCTGTATACATTTTTAAAAAATCTTAAAATATGTAAAAAACCAAAATAAAATATACGTGTCTAAGCGTTTTTTCGGAAACTTGACCGTTTTTTAAATAAAAAATATTGTAATATTTGAGAGGTGGTTTCACCCTCTTGGAACTGGAATTTCGAAAAATCCCTTCTTATCGAACCTCTACACTCTAGAATCAACCTGTATGCCAAAATTGAGCTTCTTACGTTAATAAAAGTTTTAAATATGTTTGTTACCCTGAAAAATTCAAACGATTAACTATAATATGAATAATATTATGTAAATGTGCTATCCATTGTAGATATAAAGTGAAATGTATTGTGAATCGCCCGGTATATTTACATAAATATATTTATACTTAATATTGCATTATTCAAATATGGATTGTGTGACTGCCGATTTGTGCATTGCAGATACGCAAGTGTTTATTAGAGCGAAGAAAAAGTATAAGAATATGTATGTTTAATTTTTAACACTACTACGATACGCAAAGGTTCACTAATACAAATTTACAATTTACAGGAAAGTATAATAGAATCTGTACAATTTAATTTATAAAACCATTTTTAACATACCGGGTGCGTCTCAAAAGTGGCTCAGCTCTATAACTTTTTTCAGATAAAAAATCGAGATTTGGTACGTTAGTATATGACATAAATTAGGATTGATTGACTTATTCAATTGCTTTTGGTCACTTCCTGTTTCACTGGAAACAACTACATATTTTAATTTAAAAAAAAATAAATATCGGTACTCTCGATCTCTCGATATTTTGTTCCTTTATTCGATAGAAAATGACACTCTGAATATAATGACATATCATATTATGTCAATTTTTGACATTTTTAAATATGGTTTATTTGAAATTGCAACATGCGATTCATAACGCCAATTTGGCTTGAAATACCAAGTGTGTGGTAACAAATTATTCGTAAAAAAATACTTTTTCCAAATATGCTAATGAGCCACCCTCGTCCCATTTGAAAACATTGAGATACGATTAAAAATACGATTTGAGCATCTTTCAACCGGCCGGAACAATACACTAAAAACATTAGACGATCAAATCTATTTTTTCAAGGCTCCTTGCTTAAAAATTTGTGTTTTTAACACAGCCATGGCACTCTAAATTGAAATTTAAAATACAATTTTGTTTTAAGCGAAAATGTCAAAATATTAATGTTATGATATGATTATGATGTTATGTCATTATAATCAAACTGTCATTTTCTATCGAATAAAGTAAAGAAATAATGAGGGTTTTTTAAAATCAAAAGTTGCAGTCATTTCCTGTGAAACAGGAAGTGGCAGAAAATAATTGAATACGTCAATCAATCCTAATTTATGTCATATACCTACTATATTATATTATGTTAAATAATTATCTTGATTTTTGTTCCCAAAGAAATATAAAGTAAGAATCGATTATAAGCGTTTTTGATCGCTTTGTATAAATCACAGGACGTTTAATTTAAAAAATAATAAATATTAGTAATCGCAAAACATTTTCCGATATCATCAATCATATCGACATTGACATTAAATTAAAATTAAAATTTAAGATACTAGAGCAAATGAATGTTACAGATATTATATTTAGATTTAAGCTGCAAAAATTAGTTTAAACCGAATTTTATTATCGCTATGTTGGTCACATTGCGCCGTATTCAGCAATGTTGTACTTTATTATTTGACAATTATCCTAATGTCAGTCATTATTTTGTATAATATCGTGTTGTTGAATATTTGTGAGCAATTCTCGTTTTTTTTGTCTATTTTCATAGTCTTTTTTTAAAAATGTTTGTATTGCATTTCTTGAAATTGTATATTGAAAATATTTGAACGAGAACTTGACAATAAAGGTCCTTTATAATTAATTAAGGTCCTTGAAAATAAAGGTCCTTTATAATTAATTAAGGTCCTTTATTATCCTTGACTGCAGTAAGAGAAGTAAGTTTGATTGATAAGCACATTATACTCGTACCACTTTCAAAGTTAGTTTTTATTAAATTCTGTGATTATTAGTTTGTGCATTAAATAGCACCCTCTTACTTGTTATTACCACTTATGGCGTTGGAAGATGTACATCAATAAATAAATAAATAAATAACCCATAATAACGCTTAGAATTTTAGAATAATATTTATAATGGACTAGTTTTTGCCAATATGTAATAAGAAAAGTATGGTATAAAACAAATAAATCAATTAATTACTAAAATATTAGTTATTAAATTAAAAATAAAACGTAAAACTTTTTTAAAAAGTAATATAATAAATATTATTCTTTAGTCAATTTTAAATTAAGATTCATCTCATAAACCCATCACAATCTGGCAGCACTGTCGCCATCGTTTGTTACTCAAAGTTGATCACGTGCATCGGAAATTGTTTTGCGATTACCATATATCTTTGTGTTTTCAACTTCCTCTTTCGCGCATTAAAAAGTATTTGTGTGTCATCTATTCCATATCTATTCTAACCAAGCACTTTAAGAATACAAGTTAGAGTGAGATCTGGGGAGCTAATGTATGTGGTAACCATATTATAATTATTTATATATATTAAAAATTTCAAAATTACCATAGGGATCTCTAGGTTGCAGGACAAAAATTAGACTCAATTCATAGACTGTATTCATAAAACAATTCATAGACTGTATTCATAAAATTTCATACTAAATAGATACTTATATTAATATTACATTGCATTGTAAATCCTAGTTTATAAAACTGTAGAAACACAGCTTATTTCCCACATCCATGTAAAAGTTTTTTTTGTACAAAACTAACTCATTAACAGCTAATCTCATAACTGTACGTTACTTAAAAAATACGATTTTTAAAATACTTATTTTATGTTTTTAACTCTTCACAAATCCATCACAAAAAACAATACGATAAAAAAAAAAACGGCGTCAGCGATGGTTATAAAATTAAGATCGTAATTTCCAAGCCAACTAAATACCGTCTTTTTCGAATCTTTTGAAGTAGATGTAATGGACGTAGGTACCTATCTATAAAAAGTAATAATAATATATAATATTATTAACATTATCAATAAAAAAATATTATAATTATTATATTTAATATTTTTTAGAGTATATACAAATGTTTGGGTATCACATAGTTCAATAAAAATAACAACAGAAGACGTAATTAGACGTAAAAATATGTTTCTTGAATAAACTAGAGAACATATACACATATTTTTAATTATTATGATTGTCATTATCTGGCCATAGAACAAATTTAGTTCACATCAAGTACATAGACTTAAAAAGAGATATTTATGTACATTAGAACTATTTCTTTAAAATTACAGGGCGTTTTTTTCCCTTAATGCTAACTAAATCACAAGTTTTTTCCTGTTGCAGGATATCGGTCACTAATCTGGGACACTGAGTCGGTCAGACTATTTATTTTGGTAGTTTTGGTAATGTTATTGACTAGTTGTTCATCGACCTTTTCTTCTGGTGGTTGATTGACGTCGGTTTGAATTGCCGGAGGGTGAGGTGCAGCGTCAGGTACTAAACCTCTTAGGAACAGCGACAGTACCGTCCAAGGGATTATCCTAGAAATGGAAAAACATATTTCATATTCTATTTACAGAGTGAGTTGGGTTGTAGTCAAGCGTCAGGTTGTCCAGACCCAACTCACAATTGCCCGTAATACCGTCACGGGTGAATAAACTAACATAAGTATATAAATCCAATAGTTTTATTACGTTTTAGACGATTAGTAGAGAAGAAGATAGTAGAAAGCCTTGTAGAGAAGAATATTGCAATTGACAACGGTGAGTGGTACATCTCACCGAAACGTTGTGCAAGTTACAAATAAAGACAATGGAAGCCTGAAATTTCTTTAGTATCTATCAAACTGAATCATTGTTTATCACATTCAAAGAAAATGCCTAAATTTTTATGGCATGTTCCATGAAATTATAGATCGTTGCAAAAGTGAGGTATACAGGCTGGTCCGAACTGTATTCCGGAAACTTCGGTAGCATATTCTGCAGGTAAAAATAAGTAAAAAAAATGTATAAATGTATGTCCTAAAATGCTTAGTTTTGAAGATACAGGGTGTAGAAGTTTCATTTTTTCATTTAATTTCGATGTCAATATGACTCCTATTTGTAGGGGCGCCACGTATATGTGTTTTAACTGTTTTGAAGAGTAAAAACTTTTCGTCCGCACCTGTATAAAACTACTGAGTAAAAAAATTACATGTACGACGTTTTCTACGTAAAAAAGTTTTCTTGGTAAAAATCGCTACGAGCAACTGTTCTCAAGATATTTAGAATGTCATTAAAAAAAAATAAACACGTTGAGTAGATAGTTATTAATTTAAAATAATAAATTTGTGAATTTTTTTTTAAATTAATCATAATTTTTTTTGCGACAAATTGATGATACAACAGTTTCTGTTGAACTTTTGATACAAAAACATATCAAATTTATGATTTCAGTCTAATAACTATTTAGTCAACATGTTTCATTTATGTCAATGAAGACAGGTATTGATCATTTCGATTCCAAATATCTCAAACACCATTACTCGTAGCGATTTTTACCAAGAGACTTTTTTTACGTAAAAAAAGTCGTAAATGCGTATATTTTTTTACTCAGTAGTTTTATACAGGTACGGAGCAAAAAGTTATTACTCTTATATATATAAACGGGATTTGGTATAAGTATTTGATACTTTTTTCCAACTACAGCCTATTGCTGCCTTCGCGTTACCCTACGCCACACGTCTCGATTTAGTGCGTCATCAGCTTCTAGGTTACGAGCTTCCATTGCTTCCTTAACCGTTCCGTTCCAGGATTTTCTAGGTCTGCCTCTCTTTCTTCTACCCTGGGGAGTCCATTGAAAAACTTTTCTTGGCCACCTGTTCTCCGGCATACGTAGAACATGTCCACACCACTTTAAGCTGGATTTTTCAATTCGATCTAGCACTGTCTCCTCCGATGCATTCATGATACGCCTGACCTCGATGTTTGTCTTTTTTCCATCCTATTTCAACAACTTGGATTTTGCACTCAAAGTCCATAGCTCTGAACCATAGCAAAGAAATGACTCCACCAATGTTCGTCCAAGTCTATTTTTAGTTGTTGCAGACAAGTTTCGGTCCCACCAGAGGCTATTAAGACAACTAATAACTTGTTTGCTCTTCTGAATTCGGGTTTGTATTTCTTCTTTGCCCAAACCCTCGTTCTTGATAGTAGCACCCAGGTATTTAAATTTGTCTACTTGTTGAATCTGGACGTTATCATCTATGAAGACTTCAAAACAAGCGTTGGAATTGACAGCTAAGTATTCTGTCTTTTTTAGACTAACCTGAAGTCCCCATTTGTTATATTCTTGGCACTCTCCATTCTTGGGGTAGTTTATTTTGCAGACAGCACTGGTTGAACAGCTCTGTCAGGCGCCAGCGCAATTTCTCGGTCCCACACTTTAACAATTCTACTGCAATGTTACCAGGACCTGGTGACCGTCCATTTTTAATTTTTTTGAGACTTAGATGTACTTCTCTTTCGCTGATCGTTAAAGTGCCCGCAAGGTTGTCTTCCTCTTCTGCAGATTGGAATTCTGGTCGGTTTTCTGTTAGTAATTCTGCATAGTAGTTGCGCCATTTTCCTATATCAATTTTATTCAAGAGCTTGTCCGTTTGATTGGTTTTCATTTGTCGGATTGTTCGCCAGACCTCAGTACTCCGTGCGCCCCCTAGTAGACTTTCCACTTGCTGACATCTGACAGCAAGTTATTACTCTTCAAACTAGTTAAAAAATATGTAGGTGGCGCCCTCTACAAGTAGGAGTAATATTGACATCAAAATCAAATTTCTCATGTCAAAAAACTCCCAGACACCAATTTTCATCCGAATAATGACGTTACTTCAGAAATTATTTAGAAAAAATCGAAATAAAAATGAAACTTCGACATCTGGTATCTCCGAAACTAAGCATTTTAGGACATATATATTTATACGAACTTTTTTACTTAGTTTTATCTGAAAAAACAAACGATTTGGTACGTTAGTAGGTATATGACATAAATTAGGATTGATTGACGTGTTTAATTATTTTTGGTCACTGGAAATGACTACAGCTTTTGATTTATAAATGGCACCCTCAGTATATTTTTACTTTATTCGATAGAATATGACTCTCTAGATAGAATGACATATCATATATCAACTTTTGACATTTTAGCATATGGTTTATTTGAATGCTGTTCATAACGAAAATTTGACTCGAGATACCAAGTGTGTGGTATCAAATTATTCGTAAAAAAATGCTTTTTCTAAATATGGTAACGAACCACCCTCATTCCAATAATTAAACTGATTGGCCATCTTTTAACCGACCAGGACAAGACATTAAAAACATTAGACGATCAAATCTATTTTTCCAAGGCCCCTTGATTTAAAATTAGTGTTCTTAACATAGCCATGGCATTCTAGATTGAAATTTAAAATACGATTTTTTATTAAACGAGGATGTCAAAAGTTGATATATGATATGTCATTCTATTTAGAATGTTATTTTCTATTGAATAAAGTAAAAAATACCGAGGACGCCATTTAAAAATCAAAAGTTGTAGTAATTTCCGGTGAAACAGGAAGTGAGCAAAAACAATTGAGTACCTCAATCAATCCTAATTTAGGTCATATACAGTACGTCTGCTGGATCTGTGTCTATGAAAGGAATGCGGAGAAAAAACATTTAAATAAACAGAAATTTATTTTATACGTCGACTTGACGAGTACGCCACCGCAAATCGCTCCGCCTACTCGTTTTATTGGCCACTTGCAAATTTGTCGAATTTTTATTGATGGGACGCGTCGTCTAATTTTTTACGAAAAACATCGAGAGAATATCGTTTCTCCTCTCACGGATACCCCGTAGCTACAGAACGGACAGACGTACTGTACCAAGTCTCGTTTTTTATCAGAAAAAATAAAAATGTTATAGGGGTGAGCCAATTTTGAGACGCACCTAGTAGAATGGAGTTTCATTAATATGCATATTTACAGTTTTTTAGTTAAGTAAGATTTTGTTAATATAGAATTGACGAACTTAAAGTTTAAATTTTGGTATAAAACTAGATTTAGCGTTTTTTTTCTTAATATGCCTAATACTTACGCTCTCAATATAAGGCCTATTCTCATAGCTCCTGGAATCAAAACGGTTGTATCGTTATTTCTGATTCCTTCCACGATTTTATCAGCGACATCGTTGGGCTTGAGCCTGGGCAAGAATCTCGACTCGACCGAATCAAACATACCGGTTGCTTGAATAAAATACGGACATACAGCTGTAGTCATAACACCTTTAACACCTAAAATAAAAGAAAATTATGATTAGTAAAATATTTAATATTAGTTTATACAGGGTGTTCCTAAATGACATGCTGATATTTAAGGAGGTTATTCTTGTACCTATTCTAAGAAAAAAAAAAACATCTTAACATTTTAGATACAGGGTGGTAAAATTTTCTAATATTTTTTTCAAAATATCTCCTATGGTATATTTTATACACGTCATCCATGCATAAAAATGCTTATTTTGATATACAAAAAAATTGTTTCATTTCTTAATTTCCTTCCAGCCGATGCAGAAATGATTTCTACACAACAGTCACTGCATCATATTTTCAGCGATTTGACCCTGAAATAAACTGACTTTAATTTTTTAAGCAAAAACTATTAGTCGGACGAAAAAAAATCTAGAGACAAAAAATTTTTAGAAATGAATGGAAATTTTGAAAACAACTTTTATTTTAAAAGATGTCAGTGGTGTACCACTTTTTTCTTCAAATATATTCAATGTAAAACCGGTATGGATGGCACTGGTTGAAATAAATATAATTCTTTGTACGCCAAAAAAGGTATTTTGATGCATAGAAGACGTGTATCAAGTTTCATAAAGATATCTGTAATAAAATCAGAGTTATTATGGAAAAGTTTTTTTTAAATTTACCACCCTGTACCTGAGACTCAGAAATTAAGATGTTTAGGACATACATTCGTATGTAGTTTTCCTCTTAGAATAGTAGTTTTCCTCTTAGAATCGCGTCCTTAAATATTAGCATGTCATTAAGGAACACCCTGTATAGTGTACAAGGTGTCCCATTTTCGTGTGTTTTATGGGGTTTCCCGGTTATGAGTAGAGATCCAAAGATGCGGTTTTCACATCACTGTGCTACATTTTTTAGAAACCAACTATGCTGTACACAGATTTGTCCTAGCCTTTTTTGTTTCTGAAATACAGGGCAAATTTTAAAATGTGGCATTTTCGACCCCCTTCTAGTCTTGGTTATCTAATAACTTATCGAAAAGGTGAAACCTACGTAGAGTACGAAGAAACTTACGTGGGGTTTCCACGTAGAATCCGACGATGTAACTAGTTTTATGGCTGCGAGCTGTCATTTTCAAAATATCACTCAAACATATGTTTTTTTAATGAGACACCTTGTATATATTTTTTTCATTTTGTTTGCCTTGTTGTGAGCTTAATAAAAATATAATATGGTTTATAATCGTTAATAAAGTAAAAATGCATTTTTAACTTTTTAATTTAACATAAATCAAATTGGTTTAAAAGGGTAGGGGAAGCCGGGGGAATTCCGCGCACATAAGCAAAATAGCTCCTAGATTGATGTTAATTTTTTTATGAGGTAATTTTTTGTATGAGGAGTATTGATACAATATACAAACTATTGCAACATCGAAAATTAAACATTTTTTTTGTTGTACCTATTAACACAAAGAAATAAAAATGTGTGACTGCGCGGTATTACCTTAGGGTATTACCCAGGCTTTTGCAATACCGCGCCCAACTATGTACAATAATAGGCCCAACGATGTCGCTGATAAAATCGTGGAAGGAATCAGAAATAACGATACAACCGTTTTGATTCCAGGAGCTATGAGAATAGGCCTTATATTGAGAGCGTAAGTATTAGGCATATTAAGAAAAAAAACGCTAAATCTAGTTTTATACCAAAATTTAAACTTTAAGTTCGTCTGGGGGAATGGCACGCATTGAGGTATTTTAAGGCAGTTTAACTAAGACTTTATTGTACATAAAATACAGGTATAAAGATAACACAAATAAAAAAAAGATGATAGTGAGAACAAAAGTAAAGATACATTATTGTATATTAACATAAAAACACATTCTAACACAGATATTTATATAAAAATAAACTGTTACCTAGCAACAGTAGTCACAAAGGTAGATTTCTCCTTTTTCCTTTCCACTACAAGCAGGATGGGCCCACTTTGAGCAGGAATTACAGCCGATACCAGACCTCGTTGTCCCTTCCAAACTCTCCGCAAATTAAACAGATGTCATCTTCATGGGTTGAGAAAAAATCAACTTCGTCTAAGTCATCATCAACACAAATCTAGCTTTCAGAATATCTCTCAGGTTCACTATCATCGTCATCAAACTTAATATTGCAAATGTGCTTTGGCTTCTTGATGATTTTTTTAATTTCTAAAGTTGTTGAGAGTTTTCTTTTTTTCAATACAATATTGGCTTCTCTGTTCTACCTTTTGTCTCTTCTCTTTTCCTTCATATTTACATTACCCACTTGCTTCTTTTTTTCTCTTTTCTCTCTTCTTTCTTCTTCCATAGTTTCCAATTTTGATTTAAGTGCATCCGCTGACCATTTGCCTTTCTCTGATGCCCTGATTTGGTATGTTCTGGGCATCATAAACTAAAAGAAACAAGCTATAAAAAAAATAAACAAGAAGAGTGTACATTTGGGGTAATACCGCGCAGCGCGTTATTGTTTGTTTTGGTTTGGCGCGGTATTTCCCCGGGAGCCGTTTTTTTACCTAAAACTTTATTTTAGGAAAAGTACTTAAATTTTATTGGTGATCCCTTGCGATAACACTTATAGATGCACTGGTACGTGGAAATAAAATCAAGCTGCTTTTAATAACCACAGGAACTAGTAATTATCAACCGATTAAATGGCCGAAAAGATAGATGAAAGACCCATCTAACACTAAAATGTTCGTTATTGGTTAACGACTGCCGGCAATTATTCCAAACTTTTGGAGCAAACTTCATATGGCTTAAGCAACACTTCCAGCCTCACACCTGTGTATTACTAGTTGTAGTTTTTTCAACAGCGGCGTGCGCGGTATTCCCCCGTGCGCGGGATTCCCCCGGTTTCCCCTATTATTATTTTATTTTATTTAATTTAATCAGATAATTTTGCCTTCCATTATGTTAGATTAATAAACTGCACTCAAAATGAACTTGTGCATCTTTTGGATAACACGTTGCCAATCAGAGTTATAGAAGATATTTTTGAAAAAACGGCGTCCAGTTGGCTAAGAAGTGACGACCGATGATATTCCCCATAAAATGTTACTTAGAAAATGACAACGATCTTCATTTATCTTATATTTCTCTTATATATCTCTTATATTTCTAATCTTTGTTATTAACAATTAATAAATTCTTTACATTTAGAATATATGTAGGTATTTTGATAATATAATTTGATTGATATTACCAGTTATTAAATGTATAATGAGCTAAATTAAGGAGGCAATTTTAGTCGCCTAGCAGTGCAAAAAAGTGAACGGATTTAATGATTTATGCTTTGACCGTTATGAGTATTTTATCTAGATCACCCTATCGTAGTAGTACTTTCGCTATACAAAACAAAAATTAATATATTTTATTGCGATTGCACAAATAGTATTTTTACATTAATACCGGCAGTTTAGCACTTAAATACATTTTATTAATATTTCCACCTTCACTTTTTTTGAATATTTTTCTTACAGCGATCTATGTTAAAACTATATTGGAATATGGTAATAAACTAGTAAGTTGTTTACGACTTATTCGGTATACGTATATTTAGAAATAAATAAACTAAATACAACCTTTTGTTACTACAGATATATTTCAAGAAACTAACAAAACAATACCAATGCAAGGTTTTCATACATTGTAAAGAAATTTCAATGGAGATTGTTAAGATTTTTAAGCAGTTACGAACTAATAGAATCATATCAATTCTCTCTGATATAAGATAAGTTTACATTTTCGGAAAATCTCTAAGAATCCTTTTTGTTTTAACTGACACAAACTGATAACTAGTTGTTAAAAAGTTGAACTAATTAGAAATCTACGTTGAAATAACGTCAGACATATCACAGTCACCTAGATTTTATGAAATAATAAAGATCTACTGACACTGAAAATATTTAAGAAAATCATTATTTAAAGGGTAGGAAACCTCTATAATATTTTGAAGAGACATGAATTCCCTATTGAATATCGGAATAATATACTGGGTGTTCCATTTAAAATAAAAGAGTAACTTGCTTTCAAAGGTGACCTACGTCCAATATTGATGTTGTCTCATCGTGTATATCTTTTTGGGTCAAGTTTTAATTTGATTTAAGGCAAGAATTATTTTAATTATACAGGGTGTTTCAAAACAAATGCGAAAAACTTTAGGGGGCGATTCCTTGTTCAAAATAAAGGGTAGTTTGCTTTATAAACGTTGGGTCAAAAGTCAACCATTAGGGAGATATCGCGGTACAAATATGGCGGAAAAATAATGTTTTTATTTTTTATCTTGAAAACGAAAAGAGATAGACTAATGAAATTTTATGGAAGCATTACTGTTATGAAAACACACTTTAAGGTAGTTTTTTTACTTTTTTAAAATGAGTGGAAGGGGTTGAAATAAACTACCCCTATCATTCTTGTTAACGAAATTTAAAGAAAAATCTTATGAAACACATGCAAATGCTTTAATTTGGATAAGTTTAGTTTGTTTAGAAACTTTTTTACCTCTTGTGTTTTTTTGATAAAACTCACCGATTGGAAATTAAAAAATAAAATGTAAAGCATTACATGTCAGGACAAAAAACATTTTTAGTTTAAGAATCTAGTGATAATAACGATAATAATAATCATCTAGATAATAACGTATTGCAGTAGAGTAATGTCAAATAAAATAATATTAGGAACATCCTAAAAAGTAACAGCGGCCGACTAGATTTTTTCCTAAAAAAATTACAGCAGCCCACTAGATTCTTTATCAGAAAATGTTTTTTGTCCTGATATGTAATGCTTTATTGCCATCTTTGTACCGCAATATCTCCCTAATGGTTGACTTTTGACCCAACGTTTATGAAGCAAACTACCCTTTATTTTGAACAAGGAATCACCCCCTGAAGTTTTTCGCATTTGTTTTGAAACACCCTGTATATTAGGCTATACCTGGTATATTTTAATTTACGTAGCTTTTATTGAAATTTAAAAATTGTTCTTCTCATTTTTAGAAAAGGTTAAATATGTCAAAAGCCTTATATTTTCGTTATATACTTCTCTAATAAAACGCACCTTTGTTTTTCTTCTAGAATTAGTAAATCTACTGTAAATAAAATATGCTCTCTTTAATTGCAAAGTTAAGTTACACTAAACTCTGTATGAACGTGACGTAATAGCTTACAATATAATTAGTTGTTATCTGTAACTTGCTTAAGTATAAGTTTCTTTGCAATGAAAACTTTTTGGATTGTAAGTAGAATGCCGAAACAACCATCGTAAACTGATTTATACAAATTTTTGTCTGATACATTGATTCATGTTGTTAAATAACAACTACAAAGGAGATATTTCTGTTCTAAACACGGATATTGAATAATTTTCTGATGTTAACAATTTTTAAATAATGATATGATTTATGACTGAAATAACATAAAGTGGTAATCACATACAATATAATATTAAATTTAGTATTAGTTTTAACTGCAATATTTCCTGCAACTTATTATTAGACAACAGCTTGTGACTGACGAGCTTAAACATTTCTTGATGTTATGTAATAGAGATAATCAATCTGCAATTTTTTTGAACTCTTTATATTCCATGCACCACCATATTACTGATATCGTATGTTCGAAAAAGAAACGGAATCAATGTTCTATAATATTATATAATATATCGTCATCAACCTTTTTAGCTTATTCAACCATTTCCAATTATGGTGTAGCCTCCCTTTCATACTCTTTTTGTAGTTGGGCCCATTTTGTAGTTGAGCCAGAGTTGGCTATGCCGGCCCAAGTTATCCCTGCTAATTTCCTAATATCATGGTCCCATCTCGTTCGGTCTTCTTCTAGGTCTCTTAATTCCTCGTGGATACCGCTATAATTTTTGTGGTCCATCTGTTGTCCGTTCTTCTTGCCAGGTGTCTTGCCCATTGCCATTTGAGGGATTTGACTCTGTGGATGACATCTATTACCTGGGTCTTTTGTCGTATCCACTCTATTATTTTACGGTCTCTCTTGGTTATTCCCAGCATATTTCGTTCCATTGAGCGTTGTGCGACCTGCAGTTTTCTTATGATGTCCATTTTAAGCGTCCAGGTTTGGCATGCATAGGTTATGACTGGTAGTAGTGGTAGTACACATTGGTTTGGTTTGGTACATGTTTTCTTTTTTATATAGAGTGGCGTTCTAGATTTCAATATGATTGAGTTTCCTCCATAAGTACCTAATCCGCATGCTAACTAAATTCTTCTGTTGTTTTCTGGTAGTGCAGATCCCGAGCGCTGTGCTAGTTGTCCCAAATATACAGGTTGAGTTTCCTAAACGTTTATTGAAAAAGTTCATGGCTTACTAGATATTCCGAAAAAAACAAATTTCGGCTATTTTAAAAATTGTACAAAAAAAATTCCATTATAATCTATTTTAGACAAAAAGTTTTCAGATAAAAGTTGTAGATAATCACATCCCTAATAAGTTTGTGTTCTCCGATTTTTTCTAAAGCCTGTAATTTTTCACATATGACACAAACATATGTTTTTTTAAATTAAAATCATAGTTGGCCATGACTTCATAAAAAGCGCCGTTTTTTAAGCTTTTCAGCGATATAAGCTATAATATGTCTTTTTCGAAAAATTACTGTTTTATAGCCAATTCTTACCTTTCTTAACTAATTTCACTTAGTTGCTATGGTATTCTTATTCTGTTATGATTTATAACTTATAAAAAGACAGAATACTTTATTAAACGGTTCTTTACAATTTACATTACACAAACTAAAGCTTAAAAAAACTAATATCACTACATACACTTTAAGATATTTTAGCAAATGTTCAAAAAAATCGCCATTGTTTTGAGTACATAAATGCATCTTTTTAAAACTGAATTACAAGCTTTTCCCACAGAACGGCCGGTCGACTTTAATAAACTTCTCCCGTACCGCTTCTTCGAGTGCCTCTCTTAATTCATAAGTTCTTTTGTAAACCTTGTTGTTAACCATACCGCATAAAAAAAAATCTAAAATGGATAGGTCAGGTGATCGAGGATGCCCATGCTTCCACCTCTTCCTATCCCCGAGTTTGCATAATTATGATATAAATAATTTTTAACATTCCTTTCATTATGAGGGGGAGTGTCATAATGAAAGTCATGTTAGAACCACTCTATTGATGCGCGAGTATCTAAATTTAACTTTTCTAAAAAAACGTAAGTAACGTTCACCGGTCAACGTATCCTTGTAAATGTATGGCCAAGAAAAGTTGAACCAATAATCCTACACGCTTTATCATTTGAAAAATATATATTATATATTTATATCATTTGAAAAATTCATATTTACAATTTTTGTATATTTTAATTTATAAAGTTTGGATGTGACATTTATAAAGTTTGGATGTTTATTATTAAGCCATCGATGCTACTGTGACGATGTGACCATGTTGATTTTCAATCATTCTCGGCAAGAAAGCCTGCACATTACTGAGAACGACGATTGAACTTTTTTCCATGGCTAACTAAGTGAAATTGTTTAAAAATGATAAGAATTGGCTATACCTCAGTAATTTTTCGAAAGAAACATATTATAGCTTATACCGCTGAAAAGCTTAAAAAATAGAGCTTTTTATGAAGGAATGGCCAACTATGGTTTCCATTTTAAAAAAACATGTTTGTGTGATATGTCAAAAATGACAGGCTGTAGAAAAAAACGGAGGACACAACCTCATTAAGGATGTGATTATCTACAGCTTTTATCTGAAAACTTTTTGTCTAAAATAGATTATAATGAAATTATGGACAATTTGTAAAATAGCCGAAATTTGTTTTTTTCAAAATATCTAGTAAGCCATGAATTTCTTAAAAAATCTGAAAGGCGCATGTTTATGACCACACAAAACTGCAATTCTTTCTCAATTTAACCGACTCTCTATCTCCAGTAGTTTCCGAGATACCCATAGAGAACATCGTAGGAAACTCACCCTGTATAGTATTTTGAAACAAACTATTATTATTATTTGACTAGTTTAATTTGATTAATAAGACTAGATTAATTTAATTTAAAATAAATTTGATCAGATTTTTTTTTGTATATTCTACTACCAGAAAACGTTGATGTTAATAAAGAAGTTATATGAATGATACATATATTACATATATTTTGCATACTATGCATACCTATAAAGTAAGTATAAAGTAAGCATAATAAGAATATAATATAAAATCTTATATTCTCTACTATTCTCAGTGTTGTGTTATTTATTAGAACATATAATAATATATTGCTGGCACGTGATATTATGTGATCATCATGGGCGTAAGCTAGGTTTTGATTTAGGATGGGTAACATAAAATTGAAAAGTCAGTACCAAAATCTGCTTTACTTCATACTTTTCTCAACAAAGCAGTAACTAAACGGAACATTAAACAACTATTTATTAAATTTCACTATATTGAGACAATTTAAATAAAAAAAATTGACATGTTTAGTTAACACAGTAGCTTTTCCAAGACCGGCTTTTTCCAGTCTTCGAAAAGCTACTGTGTTTCTGAAACATGTGGAAAATTTGAAAGAAATCTACATTTGTTTATCGCTGCTGTTATCATGTCATTGGGCTACAAAAAAGTTCCGATATACTCGCAGCTTCAACACAGGTTCTTGCATACAAAATGTATTTGATTTTATTTGTAGACTTGTTACTTGTTAAACAGTGTTATTCTTTTTTTAACATTTTCACAGTATTTTTTAACACATCTAAATATTATCACAAACTAGATTAAAAAATTATAGTTGTCTGTGGTATTATTCTTTTAAAAACTCAATAACAATGTGCTCAATTCCTTTATTCCTTTTATTATTAAGATTTCTGTTCAATTGATGATTCCTTTGAACCACACACAGAATATATAATGAAGAGGCAGTCAGCTAGGATGGGGCAACACCAAACGTTGCCCTCACCGTGGGTTACATCTATACATCAATGTGATCAATCGTTATGTAAAAAGGAAACTTGACACCGTTTTTTCGATCATATTATAGTTCTACAGAAATATTTTGACTCTTACCTTGGGCTTCTAACTCAACCCTCAGGGCTTCGTCAAAGCCTACTGCGGCATATTTGGAGGCACAATAATCGACCAGCTTGTTAATACCCACATGTCCAGCCATCGATGCTACTGTAACGATGTGACCATGTTGATTTTCAATCATTCTCGGCAAGAAAGCCTTGACGGTCTGTAAAGTTTAGCCAATTAATATATACCATGTTTTTCTTTAATTTACTCAGGATAATTACCCAAAAATGTGCTATAATGTTGACGTCGAAGGTTCTTTTTATAAGGTGATCTGGTGTGTCAAGCAAAAGGCTACCAGAGACTACTCCTGCATTGTTAATTAGTAAAGTTACCTGAAATTAAAAGTATTACATTACTAAATTGGTTATTAAATAAATAAAATTTTATACAGGGTGGGGTACCTCATTCGCCTCGGTTGATTATACGAAAACGAAAAGATGTAGAAACGAAATATTTTATGAGTATATGTGGGAAGGCAATGTGCACAATTTAAAATTATTTTGAAATGTACAGGATGTTTCAGAACTAAGATCCATACCAAAGTTGTATTTTTTCTTATGGAACACCCTGTATTTTATTTAATTTTTGGATTTTTGGGTCCAAAAAAAGGTATTTATTATAAGGGTTAAATATGTTTAAAATCTTTGGTTTTTGAGATATTTAAAGATATTTGAAAATGCATTCTACAATAGAATAAATTATTAACACCCTGTACATTGCTTTTCAGAATTAATTCTTGTGCTGACTTGTAAGCCAGAGAAATAAACTTTACTAAAAAATTTAATTGCTTTGTTTAATGTATACAGGGGTATCAAAACTTGCTGGTCTATTTTAAATATTTATTTTACTCAAAAACTTTGTTATTTCAAATACAACACCCTGTTTTTTTTTAAATAAATCGAAGCAGATTTAAATGCTCTTTCAAACTATATAAGGGTTTCCTATACCTATCTAGCTCCGATTTTGAATAAAGAGCCATTTTTCAATAAAGTGAGAACCAAGATGGCTGATGTCAAGTTTCTAGTGACAGTTAGCTATTTTCAAAATCGAAATTATTTTATTGACTTTATTTAAATGTATAGCAGTTTACTTTTATTTAATTTGCCTACAGTAGTTTAATAAATAATATTTATTAAATATGTATTTATTATTCTTTCAAGAAAAACGAAGAAGTAGTTCTCTCATTTATTTTCTGGTCACTCGTAGATATATGGATTTTCTATAAAAGAGCCAATTACGGCAAATTCATTTTCTTTACTTCCAACGACAGGTTTCTGCCTAATAGTTTTTTTATAAACCACACTACTATAGCTCTGCGAAATAGAAAAGTATTTTTTCAAGGAACGCTTATCAGGAAGATTCCTATTTGGATATCTTTGAGCATAGGCTCTTGAGGCGAAGAAATAATTTTCCTCACAAAATAAAATCACTAGTAAGATACCCATTCGTTCCTCCAGCAGATACTGCTTTATTTTTCTTGATAAAATAATGAATAATGAAGTTTAATAAGTATTAAACTATTGTAGCTAAATTTAAGTAAACTGTTATAAATCTAAATAATAATGTCCACAAACTAATGTCGATTTTGAAAAGAGTTACTAGCTTTAACCAGAAAATTGCCATAGCGACACCAGCCATCTTGATTGCCATTTTATTGAAAAATCGCTTTATATTCAAAATCTGAGCTAGATAGGTATAGGAAACCCTAATATAGTTTGAAAGAGCATTTGAATCTGCTTTGAAAAAATACAGGGTGTTTGGTTTCGTTATTTGAAATAACGAAGTTTTTATGTAAAATAAATATTTAAAATAGACCAGCAATTTGTGATACCCCTGTATACATTAAACGAAGGAATTAAATTTTTCAGTAAAGTTTATTTCTCTGGCTTAAAAGTCAGCACAGGAATTAGTTCTGAAAAGCAATGTATAGGGTGTTAATAGTCTATTCTAATGTAGCATGCATTTTTAAATATTCTTAAATATCTCAAAAACTAAAGATTTTAAACATATTTAACCCTTATAATAAATACCTTTTTTTGGGTCCAAGAATCCAAAAATGAAATAAAATACCGGGTGTTCCATAAGAAAAAACATAACTTTGGTATGGATCTTAGTTCTGAAACACCCTGTACATTTCAAAATAATTTTAAATTGTGCACATTCCCTCCCCGCATATACCCATAAAATATTTTGTTTCTACATCTTTCCGTTTTCGTATAATCAACCGAGGCGAATGAGGTGCGCCACCCTGTATATCTCATTTCCTTTAACTGCCTTCTAGATACATAATATGGTAATACTATACAGTTTAAAAAAAAACTTTATTTCAGTTTCACGTACAAATACTTGACTTTTAATTATAAGCATATATTTTCCATTGAAATATGTCAAAGATATCTAACAGATATCTAATTTCAAAACGGGTATGTAGAAATACAAGAGAAATACCAAGAGCGCGTACACACGCTTTTCTTTAAACAAATACCTTCTCGCATTTTCATCACTCATTATATCAATAAACTATTGCAAATATTAGGAAATATATCTATAAATCAAAGCTAAATATTTTTATTTAATTATTATAAATACACTCAGATGCAAAAAAAACGCAACAGAGACATTTTTGGTCAATTTTATAGTGTTATATTTTTATTATTTTTAGTCCTAGTTTGATGAATTTTTTAGCAAGCTGCACATAATTATATCAACTTTAATTCGTAAACTAAGTTTTTTATAAACTTTAGTATTTGGCATATTATACAGGGTTAATCGAGGAGTTCTTTTTTTACCATAACTTTAAAATTCCCTGTGCAATAATTTCGTGTATGAATTTTCCTAAAATATAATTTTGCGGTCAGAACAATGACTCCTGAGTATTTTGTTTTTTGATTCATGTCAATACATGCTTTGGTTAATTTTTAAGAGCGAAATGAACTGATTACGATCAATTTTTAATTTTTTCAGTTATCATTACTTTTTTATGTAATTTTTAAATATGACGAGATGGTTTTGGTGACTATTGTCATAACGTCATATTACGCTGCATTGGATACTGTATATATTATTATTATACCAGATAAGAAACCGTTGCATGCAGATTCTGTGGGGAAAATTGCGAAACATCAGGGCACCTCATCACTGAGTGCGCCGAGTCGACAACCATTCGTCCCATAAACTTTGGTACGACTGATACTGGAGATGGAGGTCTAGCCTCTATTTTTTCCTCATAGACACAGTAGTTTCAGATACTGGCTTTTGTCAAAACCGTGAGACTGTATGATGAGTTATAGCATGTTATAACTCAAGAATGGGGGATACACAATAGATCTATAGGTCGCCCGTCGCTGTGATTAACCCCCTTGCAAACATTCTACATTCTACATTGACCTCGCCAAAATTATTATTGATTGTCATAGTCCTGCTGTTTTGACACCTCTTTTTTTCGATCGTATGGGACAATTGGCCTGTAAATTAAAACACACAACTGTCATTGTCTGGAATCCTCCTGTTGGACAGATTTATACTTGTTAGTAAATATATGCTAAATTTAATTGAACGCATATTAAACATTTACATACGAGTATACATATAAGTATCATAACCTCTTTATGGTTTCAGCAATTACATTAATAATATACTCTATTACAACAAGGTTTGTGCAAAAACAGTTTCAAATTAGCATTTAAAGGCAATATCCTGTAAACTTATGTAAATTTTCTTTTTTTTGTAGCATATTTTTCTTTCTTGAACTGTTTAAGCTAATAATAGTAAAATCGTTTTTTCACGTACACACGTAGGAAAAAGACATTATATTATTCTAGTCTAGGCTAAAGAACGTCAATTCACGCATTGCTGTATCCTCAATTTATTTTTTGCCTTACTAATTATCATTATTTGCGCGAATCATTAACATCAACACGTAATTCTTTTAATAGTGTCTAAATTAATTTATTCGATTTTAGATAATATCGGTGTCTATGAGGAATGTCTATTTCTTCAATCAACGGTAATATACAGGGTGAGTTTCCTACGATGTTCTCTATGGGTATCTCGGAAACTACTGGAGATAGAGAGTCGGTTAAATTGAGAAAGAATTGCAGTTTTGTGGGGTCATAAATATGCGCCTTTCAGATTTTTGAAAAAGTTCATGGCTTACTAGACATTTCAAAAAAAACAAATTTCGGATATTTTAAAAATTGTCTATTTGAAACTTTTTGTCTAAAATTAATTATAATGGAATTATGGGCAATTTTTAAAATAGCCGAAATTTTTTTTTCGAAATATCTAGTAAGCCATGAACTTTTTCAAAAATCTGAAAGACGCATATTTATGACCCCACAAAACTGCAATTCTTTCCATATTTAACGGACTCTCTATCTCCAGTAGTTTCCGAGATACCTATAGAGTATATCGTAGGAAACTCACCCTGTATTTTGGATATTTTGTTCTTGAATAATCTGAGAAGTAAATGCACGCACATACATTAAGTACTTAAATAGAAATTATTGACACTAAAGTTATATTCCAAGTCAGTACCAAAATTACTTGTAGGGGGTGCTGGCACCTGCACCTACATATTTTTTAACTGAAATGAAGAGAAATAACTTTTCGTCGGTACCTAGACAGGGTGTCCCATTTTAGTTGCAATCATACGGGCCTTCCGTCATTCGTGATGATAGAAGGGCCACTTTTTTGTCAAACGGAAGATGTCAACAAAATTTTCATAGCCATCTTCGTTTCTGAGCTACAGGGTCTTTTCGAAAATTTTGCAATTTGGGACAGCCCCCGTATTCTCGTTATTATGGATGATATCGAGAAGGGGAAAACTGATCACTCTATATATTTATTTTCACTATTTACTACAATATTTAAAATATATTATTTTCTTATTAGTAGGCCGTGACAAATAACAAAATCAAAATGGTATTTACCAAAATAGACATACACATATTAAAATTTTATTTAGAATTAATATATTTTATTTTTGAACTGTTACCACTGAACCTCTGAATATATTTTTCTATTTTATAACGCACGAGCTAGCGAGACAAAAAGTGGTAAGGATCGCCCAAGCCCAAACTCCAAAAACATTTGATTTAAAGCTAAGAAAAGCATTATAATAAACTTGATACTGTAACTGGGTACCAATATCCTCTGGTTGTGTGCTAGGAAGTAAATTTTCATGCATATCTTCATCGATAGGTTTGTAGCTTCTGAATCACGGTCTGGGTAAATCGTTTAGATCATTTGGTAACTCAGAATTAGAATTATTAGAGTTAAGCACCTCGCATTTACATTGGGGGACATCCTCATATTTATTTCAAACCAATAA